TCTTGAAAATCTCACAGATAGAAAAACATTGTTCTAAGCATGAATTTTAAATTCTATCTTTCAAAGCAGAAAAAAAAACCCAATTCTAAATAAGAATAAAGCAGAGGGTTTTACGGAGTTCCAAATGAGTAGAATTTGAAAGCTCTTATTAAACATTATCTTATTAATTATGAAGTAACAAGGTTTTGCCTTGTATAATTGCGTTGCCCCCCTTACTTAACAATGTGAACAACCAGGATGGAAAGAACTGTGTGTTGAAAGTCCTCAGGAAAAAAAGTTGCGGATTTTTTAATACACTGTCGATATATCCAATATGGACCATACGATTCTATAAATAAACGCAAATAATCAATAGAACAATGATGCAGGAGATCTCAAATCAATATATGAGAAGTCTTGCTGCAGTTAAAACAACAACGAACAACAAAGCTTCAGCTAAATTATTTCCCATGTTGAGCTCTTCGAAAAGTCCGCTAATCCGCAGTTTTGAGATATTTCTGGAATTCAATACACCTTTAATGATTAAATCGAAATTTTTCAAAAAGTATATGATATTAACTTGAATTGAGCCATCTCTTCAGGCCATGATTGTTCCACTTTTTGCAAGTTGTAGTTACAACTTGATGTGGCGCAAATCCATTGCTCTACACCATTATAGGATCGATAGTAACCAGGCTAAAGGACTTAATGTAGACAGAATCAAGGGGACTATAAAGGTTTTTGAGAACATACCGCAATAGTTTGAGCTTCGTTCTTGCTTTGATCCAAGGTAATGCAACCCCTGAAAAGCGGACAAGAGATAAAACTTGGTGTTGAGAAGGTTTTAACCTAGAAATTGGCAATTTCACTATTTACCTATAGACATCTCCTTGTGGTGAGGCAGAGATGACACAATATTGTCCTTTACACAATTTCATTATTGGGATATATGGTAGGTGACGAGATAGAAAATCTGCATGACATTCTACCAGACTGTCTGTAGGGTACGAAGCTTCAGTGTCGTTAGCCTGGGTATAATTTCATCACATTTGTCTTCACAAATAGCTAGTTTTGATAAGGATTTGTTTGTCGATAGGGAAGCAGGGCGATCACAAAAAAAAACTAAGGAATTGAACAGAACTATTTTAGGTTCCTTGACTTTTTTATTATATACGTACTGTATCTGATTTGCTGTTGAATCTAATAAATGTCATCACTTTTTCCATTCATTTACATTTTTTATGAGTAAACATTTACTTCTTTGAATCATATTTGGAGTTCCATAAGTATGTAGGCCAGGCTTTTCTAAGGTTTTTTTTTACTAAATTGGAAAGGTTCTTCCATCTCGCTCACCATTGACCCGTAACATATCGTCTCATCAGATTGGCCACCATACTCGAGTTTTGCACAAGTGTTTGGATAAAATAAGAATGGCATTTGAGATTGAAATAAGTCGAAATCACTGCTCGTTGAGCAATCCATCGATTGGAAATGTGATTTTGTTCCATTTTCCAATGCAAACTATAATATCAATACCATTATTTATGAAGAAATTATTGTCATTCCTAAAACATCCAACCGTGCTTCTTTTGAAAAGACAAAAATTTCCAGCACATGGATTTGTCCATCGCCTAGGTGGTTCGATACCATTTTGTAGATCACGTTTACAAACTTGTAGAGGTAAGTCTGTGACTGGAGCCACTTTGAACGCTTGCTCGTCGCGATTACAGAACTCTGTGCTGAAATTAAAGGGTTTCTCTTTGAAAAACACGGTTGAGAGGTATGCTTACTCGCACAGGCATAACACTTGACCATCCTGATTACGTCGACAGCCTGTTGATGGCGCTGTCCCACTTACACAACCCTAAAGAAAGGATTAAAGACGATTGTAAGTCTGGTACAGAATAAATAGTTTGTAAGGTACTTTTTGATTTTAGGTATTGCACTGGCCAGACCAAAGGACAGGACCATTGGATTTTAAGATTACATTAATTGCTTGAGCTAATGGCCTTGTGATTGCTGATCGATAATTAAAGAAGGACAATCGAACATCTGCTTTACAGTTCATGTAGTTATTGGCTTGAACCCCAATTTGCACTTAGCAGATT